GTGTACCCTGATAGGCTGTCTCAGAGTTCTTGTGAGCATCCTCACAGACACCCTCTTCATAGTTCCTTGAATGCATGGGACTTCTTAACCCTTTCTAAATGTATCAAAGTTACTTTTCAGATATTTTTTATTGGGATAATTTAGCATGTTTGAAAAAGAAATTTTCCATTGGAAAACAGCTGGTGTGACCTTACGAAGTATTAGCTTTAAATCTTTGATTTTTTTTTTAATGAATGAATGAACATCTGTAGGTGCTCAGTCCTTTTCAGCCACAGCTCAGGAATTTCCAGTATGTTTGGAATTATCCTTAACAGTCCTTGAAAGTAATGTTTAATTTAACAATAGTTCTCCTGCTACATATTTGCCAGTAAAGTGTTTATGCATTTATTATTTATAGGGTTGTGAGATTTGAAAAGAATAGCACAGCATACTATATTTTTCCACATTTTTGTTTTATTCTGTTTTCTTTTGTGTTTAGTGGAAACCTGGATAAGCAAACGGCATTGGGTAATACTGTTCTACACTACTGCAGTATGTATAATAAGCCTGAGTGTTTGAAATTGCTTTTGAGGGGGAAGCCAACTATTGATGTAGGTAAGTTCATTATTTAAAACTAGGACATTAGATTTCCCAAAATTTCTTTCCATTTTTCTAGCCTCTTTTACTTATGTCTTGCTGCTTTAAGTAAACTTTAAAAAGGAAAAATAAAACTGTATCAGAAAGATGAAGACTTCAGCAAGAATAACTCCAAAGAGAGCATTCAGTCAAGAAATGGAAATTAAATCCTTTGAAGATAATAGTGACAAAAATTTTCTAATACAAAATACTAATGATAACCCCTAGTTTTTCTGAAGTTTTCTGAGGAATTGTAAATGTCCTGGAGTGTAAGTTTGTATTTATATTGCAAGTACAATATAAATATATATACAATTGTGAAGTCATCTAGTACTTGTATGTTAAAGTACTTCAGATGACTGCTCACATTAATTCCACTGCAGCTTCACCCAGCATGCCCTGGCCACCACTGTAGCTGATGAGGAAAGGGATTAGCTTTCCCAGCTGCCTTTCTTCTTCAGTTTGCCATCTACGTGTGTGAGATAGGTATAATGCTTGCTGTACCTAAATCAGTCCACTTTTCATCATGGCATAGCAAAAGTTTAATTAAAAATAAAATCTCTGTAAACATTGCTCACTACTAGGATAATCTCCCATTCACTAGATGCTCTCCTTTCCCTGCCACGTTCTGGGAGTTGGGAAAGTATTCCATGAATCCAGCTTGTCAGGCTCAGGAGCAAAGTGTCATCAGCATGTTACATTCTGTCAGTTCTTGCTACAGGAGGGAAGCTTTATGAACAGTTGGTGCAAACTGAAGACTATGAACTTTTATTTCTCCCTCTTTTGTCATCACCATCATTTGCCTTCACTGCCCACTAAAAAAAAAAAAACTGCTGCATAAATTTTAAATTCGTTGCTCAGTGGCAAAAATTTTATTTCTTTGGCCTTTTTATACATTGTTAGAATATGTTCTAATTTTATCATCACAAATTCTTTGACTTATATTTTTTTAGCAGATATGTCCCTAATTAAGAAAATGGGAAAGCTGTCTGAATAAGCTTAAGTGTGTTTATTGGTCCTTCAGTTTAACCCCCTCCTAAGTAGATGCCAGAAGAGTGTTCTTACCTTTCTGTGTCTCTCTCTCTCCCTTCCCCCCTCCTGCAAAGTGTTACATAGGAACTGCATCTCTTCTTTAGGCCTTGAAGCATCCTGTTTATATGTAAAGGTTGAGAGTCTGGAATTTATCTAGTCTTTTAAGCTGTCTGTGTGTTAAGATATACTATATTTTTGTTCCTTTTCATAGTAAGACTCCTGAACGATCTCTGATCTTTCCAGAAGGAGCCTTGCTTCTTCTAGATATTTCAATTATTTCAAATTCATAGGCCTTTCTGGATGACAGCTTTGTATTTTCTGGAACTCCTGACTGGCATTCTGTATGTAATGTTACACATAGTTTGCTTAGGAGAGCTCAGGTGGACTGTTTTCAGTTCCTAAACACAGAAGTGCTTTACAGTCTGGATGTAGATAGAGCACACTCTGTTGCATGTCCATGGCATTTACAGCTACACTGTAAGAATAAATTTTACCTATGGTTGGGGTGTAGTAGTAGTTTTGGTTTCTTGAGTCTTGCTACTGAGCATCTAGGAAGGCTCCCATTAGATGCTGTCCCTGAGGACCTTCCAGGGTGCTTCAGTATCACCTTCTTTCTTATCAGGCATTATTTTAAAAATATAAGCCATTTTATAGCTTTTATAAAGACAAAATACCTAAAAAGTTTAAAAATTATTCTTTTTCAAGTCTTTTGTCTTCAAATTCAGGCTTCAAACTGCTGTCTATTAGTCACAGTAAAATGTGCTTAGATCAACATTTGCTTTTTTTTTCCCATTTAAACCTTAGAATAGTTTTCTTTTTTAAGCTATCTTACCCTGTCTTCTTGCTTTTCCTGCCTATTCATGTAAGAGTTTTACTGGCAAAGGAGATGAGTGGAGATTGAAAGGACTAAATTTCTTTATATTCTCTGCTAGGATGGTTAGGAGGGGCTTGGGACTGACCCAGTAGTTGCTGCTGTTGAGAAGGAACCTGGTGATATGTGAAAGGCATGAGCACTTACAGCAGAATCTTAGAGAGCTGCAGTTGCTATAGAGTAAATAGATGGTTTTGGTCACTCTGCTAAAAATAGTGAACCTTAATGAATTGATTCTTCAAACATCTCAAAAAATTTTTATTTTTTTTTTTTTTTAATTTTGTAGTAAATCAAGCTGGAGAGACGGCTCTGGACACAGCAAAAAGAGTGAAAGCTGTCCAGTGTGAGGAGCTGGTAAGAACCAGGCTGGGGGAAGGCAAGGGGAGGATATTTACTTCCTTAAAGATGTCATCTACTTAAGATACCATTGCCACTGTGTCTCAGACTTGGTGTGGCTGCCAGCAGGCTCTATGCTGATCTGAAAGCCTTGCCAGAGATGAGTATTTTCTTACTTCAAAACACAACAGTCATTTTCTTTGTAAGGCCCTAGGTAAAAGATGTTACTTCTAGTGGAAGTAATTAATTATTTTAATCAGCATATTTTAAGACCTTACGTATTGGATAGTCAAGTATTTGAATACCAATTAATGCACCATTCTAGAACATTTGGGCTTCATCACCTCTAAAGTTCTTCTTGGAGACATTTCTATCAGGAGTACTAAACAACCACTGAAATATTAAATCTGTCAAGACCTTTTATGTCTGAATCTTTGTTTGACTTTTCCTGCTTTGCCTTTTTCCAGTTTACTTAATGAGACAGGTAGTTCAGAGATGGTGAAAGTCATCTTACAAAGAGAACTGCAGCAACTTTAAATTAAATCTCAAAGGAGGAAGAAACAGAAGTGAGATGTAGTGAGATGTCTGGAACTTAGGGTATCAAAAATTGTAAACCACTAGCTTCAATGGGATTTTGTCTCTCTATTGAACATGATCAGAGCAAAAACTTTCAGGAATTTTGAGAATGTGTGAGTGATGTTAACAGATGCCACTCAATAAAACCACTGGAATTCAAGAAATAAAAGTATTAAAGGATTTTCCCAAGTACCCTTCTGAAGCACTGAGCCAGGAATAAGGATTCTACATCAGACCAACAGCCTTGTTTGTTCTTAGCCCCCTGAGGTGCCTCTCACCAGCATGCATTTTGTAGGCAAGCAAGTCAAGTACTATCAAGGGATTAAAAAGTCTTAAGTAGTGTGGGAGTTCCACATTCCAGATAAAACCAGAAGGATTTACAGAACAGTTGTCACTTGCTGTGTACTTCTATTTCTCAGAACTTTTTTTCCTCAATTTGATGGTCCAGGGAGAATATTTAGTTTTTTTCTCTGCAGCTGGTAATTTTAATAGCTGTCCTTTGATGATTGAAAGTTCTTGTCATGTATTAATTAATTACTGCAGAACCACAAGAGCTTGTCCTTCACAAACAATGATAATTTTCTTTATTTCTGGGCACAAGTCAGCGTTTTGCCGTGGTTGATATAAGGTGGTGCTCTCACTGACTTCTCAATTACTCCCATGGCTGCTGTGTAAGTCAGTAGTATTTCAGTGTTTTGAGTATCCTGTCAGCTGTGTAACACACAATTGGTATGGATTGCTTTCTTCTTGCAGTGTATATTTTATAAAATAACATCTGCCTTTAACGTGGACCAAGGGATTGTGTTGTAGAACAAAAACAAGTGGCTGTTATCAATGAGCTTATCTAGCAGTTAATTGTTTCCCTTATTGTAATTGATGTTCTGCTAATACCTCACTGCTTATTTCAATTAACTATAATAGAACATTTATTAATCTTTTCATTTTTGAAGAGGAAAATTAATTCTGCATTTTCTTAAAAGTGGCAATGAGATATGGTTAAGAATAAAAAAGAAATGTGAGTGAGCATATTGCATACCATGGGCAATAAACCAGTACAAAGTAAATATCTAGATGTTTGCAACATGGTAGATGTGCTAAGCTAATTTCTGTTGCATAGCTGGAGTCTTGACTGTATTTACATTCAATTTAAACCCAAGTGAGTTCATTAATACTTATATAACAGAATGAAATTACTTTCTCTCTTTCAAATTTTATTTCAGGAAGATGATTAAAGGATTTCCTGAATCAACTAGTACGAAGTAGACTACATTTCAAAGGATGTGAAGGAATAAATAATGATAGGAAATCTAAGCATTGTAAAGGAGAATTTATCTCTTTATGAACAGCAATTTTCTTTTTTTTTGATGGATACCATTAAAGAATGTGGATCCATTATTTGAGCTGTCAAGGTAGAGGAATTTTGTGCCTAAGACATATACAGTGGCCTCATCCAGTGAGAGGGAGGGAAGTACGTAAATAAAGAATAAATACATTTTGTTTTGATTCCAACACAAGGATTGTGATTTTTGGAGGACTAATAGTTGTTGCACCAGAATTTATAAATAGGTGTTGCATTGTCCTTTTTTGGAAAGGAGATCTGCAGGTGTATTCTGCTTTTGTGCATATACCGTCTCTTCATATCATCTTTTCAAATGCTTGGCAAACATGGCAACTTCTACCCACTTTGATAAAATCTTTCATTTTTAGCTGATTTTTTTTTATATATACCTCAAATAAATGAAAGATGTTTGTGTTTGCCCTGAAATTGTTTATTTTTAATGTCTGGAAAAAACATCTAGATGTTTCAGGTTATTGCTTGCTGTTCTAAAACTAACTTTGTTGACACCAAAGGAACAGCAGCTATTTGACCAAGAATTGTTATTTCTTTCAGCTTTCTCAAGCCAAGGCAGGAAAGCTGAACCCACACGTCCATGTGGAGTATGAATGGAATCTTCGGCAGGAAGAAATTGATGAAAGTGATGATGACTTAGATGATAAGGTAATCATGAATTACTGATACAGCTTTGTACAAAATCTATCAAAAATTCTGTTCTGTGGAAATGTGTATAAATTAGAATCTCACCTTAACCTTTTTTTTTCCCTCATATATTATTTTGGGAGAAAAGCTAGTTTTTAGGCTCTATTAAAGACTGTCAAAGTGCTTTTTGAATACACTTTGTCAGCCTAGTTATTATGGACTTGGGTTTCAGGAGTTTTGCTTTGACAAGACACAATAGCGTATAAATCAGCAAATGTAGATTATTTTGTTGTCTTTTTATCCCCTTCTGAATTCTAGGCTGTTAATTTTTAGCTGGAGGAAATCCAAGGCTTACATACTTACTTTTTCTATAAATTAATCAAAAACCTAATTGAATCAATAACTATTTTTCAAAAGCTGTGCTATGCACTTTAGTCCTGATTAACAAAGGAAGTAATAGACAAAACTTGAGGGCACAGGATAATTGCCATCCCAGAATATGTGAAAACTTCACTTCAGTGTCCTACTTTAGCAAGTCAGTTAATTACCCTGTGCTCTGTTTTTGTAATAAATGAGAATTCACCTCTCCTATTTTATATGGATGCTGTAGAAAGAAATGTGGTCAACTTTTCATTTTCTATCAAAAAATCAGAAACCCAAATAATTTATGTGTCCTCAAGGACAGTAGAGAACAAAATTGTTACCTCTGTGAGGAGCCTCGGGAGGATGGCTGGTGCTGGGCTGGAGAGAATGGGCTGCCAGAACCAGAGCTGCAGTGAAATGGACTCTGCTCCACATGAGGCTATTAATATACAGCAGTCAGAAATTGCTGTGTAAAATTCCTTCAAAGAGCAATTGTCTACCTCTGAAAGAGGAGATGTAGCACTGAATATGATGCTAGTTCAGGTAACAAATCAGTCTGAAGTGGCAGAACTGGTTACTTTATTTTTCATGTGCACCATGGGGCTAATATACTTGATCTCTACGGATACCTTTTTGGTCTGAATAAATACCTTTTTAAACTGAAAATTACATTTATTTTAATAAAAGCCTAGTAAAATTTTTAGAATATATTATTTAGTATATTATTATTGTGTCTACTGCTTTAAGAATAAATCGATTTATTGATGCGACAATCTTTATTTTTTGGTTAATGAGGTGAGGATCTTTCTTGTTGGATCTCTGAGAAAGGGAGGAATGTGGTTTTATTTGTCCAATAAAAAAAAAAATTCTAGTCTTGTGCATTAGAACATGTTCTGTTATGTTCTTTTCCAAATATATTAACTATATTTAGCATTTAGACAGCTGCGTAATATATTTGGTTTTCTATTCACAGCCTAGTCCTATAAAAAAAGAAAGATCTCCAAGACCCCAAAGTTTTTGTCACTCTTCGAGCATTTCTCCCCAAGACAAAATGACTCATCCTGCATTTAGCACTCCTAGGGACAAGCAAAGACTCTCCTATGGAGCTTTCACCAATCAGATTTTTGCTTCTACAAGCACAGATTCACCCACCTCTCCAACTGCAGACGCTCCTCCTCTTCCTCCTAGAAATGCTGGCAAAGGTAAGTCTGTCTTCAGACTGCGCCTGCAAGCAGGAATTTGTCCACACTGTCCTTTTTTAACCAGGTACATTACAATTTTTCAAGAGCTGTCTTTCTTGTGTCTTGCTTACTATATTGATGTGGTAATATAGTATAGTGAATGTTCAAAATGTAAAAACAAACAAACCAACCCTTCCCCAAAACAAACAAACATACAAAACAAAACAAAACCAACCAAACAAAAAAAACACCACAAAAAACCCACCCAGAACAGAGGGGGACAGCACTTTGTAATAGGCTCACTGGTGATAAAATAAAGGAGTACTCTACAAGATAAAAATTGTTTAATTTTATGTAGAAATCTGTTCATAATTTGGAGAAGGATCTTTAAGCGTTTACAGTCATAAAAATGTTTTAGAAGAAGGCTGATGGTTCATAGTGCTATATGATGATGTGCTGTGCAGGGTCTGGAAGGGAGGGCAAAGAACTAAAGCTTTGGAGGAGAAGTGCAAGGAGACACCTCCTTACAGTCAGAGAGTGTTTCTTCTTTAGTAATAGCAGTGACAATATTGCTAGTGCTTGAAAGGGAAGAGAACTTATTTTCATATGAGACTTATTCTTGCAGCTGTAGTGGGTGGTGGTTCTTTGACCTGGATACCCACGAGCTTCATGTTTCAAGGACATATTTATAGAACAAAACCTGTTACTTTACAATAATTTGTGCAAATCTACTTTATAGAATGAAAAAAAAAAACTTTCACCTTTTTTACTTATAATTAGGCTATTTATAAAATAAATTTTTTTATGGTAGACTTGTTAGAGAAAGCTTCTGTTGTGATGAAGGCTGCAGTATAGTTCCAGGCTTCAGCAGTTATGTCATCCCTTTTGTTAACACTGCTGTAACTTCATCTATCATTTTCTCAACTGGTAGTTAATGTTGTTTTCAAAAAGTGATGAAGAATTGCTCCCACTAAAATGTGAAAGAGTAGAGGGGACAGAACAGTCTATTGGCAGCAGGTACCTGCTTTTATACATGGTTCAGAAGCTGTGCTTAAGAACTACTGTTCCACCTTCAGTCGTCGTCAAGTACTGGCAACTTTGAAATTAATTCCTTGGCTCTCTTTTTTAAAAGGGTTTGTTTTCCATTAAGAGCCAAACTGATTTTGCCAGCCTGTGCATTTTCACAGTCTGGGTTTCTTTATATCATTTTCACTGGGGACTCATTTGTACTCCTGTGGCTTCACTGTGCTGACCTCCCTGCTGGCATTACACATTTCTAACTCATTCCTTCTTTCCCCCACCTTTTCTGCCTAGCAGTCTGCATTCTCAGACACAGTACACTGGCTTACAAGTTCCTTCAGTCTGACCTAGGGTAACATTTTGTCATAAAGCTGCAAGCCTTGGAAAGGGGTCATGAATCCCATTTCCCATCGTATTTCTATAAATACTTTAACAGCAGAAGGAAGACTAAGGAGAATCTTCATCCTCTGTTGGATGCTGAGGGGGAAACACGGTGACCAAGGATGAGGAAAAGGCTGAAGTACCAAATGCCACCTTTGCCTCAGTCTTTAATAGTAGGACCAGTTCTTCTCAGAGTGCCAACCTCCTGAAATGGAATACCAGGACAGGGAGCAGAATGAAGCCCCCATAATCCAAGAGGAAATGGTCAGGGACCTGACACACCACTTAGATGCACATGAGTCCATGGGGCCAGATGGGATCCACCCAAGGGTACTGAGGCAGCTGGCAGAAGTGCTCACCAAGCCACCTTCCGTCATTTCTCAACAGTCCCAGCTCACTGAGGATGTCCTGTGGAGTGGAGGTTAGCAAATGTAAACCCCATCTACAAGAAGGGCCAGGAGGAAGGTCCAGGGAACTCCAGGCCTGTCAGTCTGACCTTGATGCTGGGGAAGGTTATAGAGCAGATCATCTTGAGTGCCATCATGCAGATGAGACAATCAGACAATCGGGCCCAGTCACCATGGGTTTGTGAGAGGGAGGTCCTGTTTGATAAACCTGATCTCCTTGTATGACAAGGTAACCCACTTCGTGGGTGAGGGAAAGGCTGTTCATTTTGTGAACCTTTGTAAAGCTTTTGCCACCGTTTCCCATAGTGTTCTCCTGGAGAAACTGTTTCCTCAGTGTACCCCCAATAACTTTGCAGATGATGCCAAGTTATGTGAGGGTGTATTGATCTCCTTGAAGGCAGGGAGGCTCTACAGAGGGACCTGGACAGGCTGGGTTGATGAGCAGAGGCCAGTTGTATGAGGTTTGGCAAAGACAAGTGCTGAGTACTGCACTTGGGTCACCACAACCCTGTGCAAGGCTGCAGGCTTGGGGAGGAGTGGCTGGAAAGCTGCCTTCTTTCCAAAGAAGGGCGAGGAAGCTGGTGACGGGTCTGGAGCACAGGTCTAACAAAGAGCAGCTGGGGGAGGTGGGGTTCTTTAGCCTGGAGAAAAGGAGGCTGAGGGGAGACCTTATCACCCTCTACAACTGCCTGAAAGGAGGAGGTAGTGAGGTGTGGTCAGGACCCTCTCCCAAGTAATAGGACATGTCCTATCTCAAATGACAGGACAAGAGGAAATGGCCTCAGGTTACACCAGGGGAGGTTTAGATTGGATGTAATGAAAAAATTATTCACCAAAAGGGTTTTTAAGCATTGGAACAGGCTCCCCGGGCAGGTGGTGGAGTCACCATCCCTGGAGGTGTGTAGAAGATGGGTAGATGTCATGCTGCAGGACATGGTTTAGTGGTGACCTGGCAGTGCTGTGTTAATGATAGAGCTTGATGGTCCTGAAGGTCTTTTCCAAACAAAATTCTGTGATTGCTTAAGAAGGTTAAGACACTTAGTGTCACACACTTAGTTAAAACACTTAACAAAGCCACAGGTGTGGCTTTTGTTTCCTACACTGCTTAGTATGTTGCCACCTTTCAGTGGGTTGTAAGGAACACTAATTCTTTGTCATTACCTATATTGTCATTCTCATATAGACTTGTTCAGAAAATTGTCTTTTTCTCCAGGAAGGGGAATATCTACGTGCATATTTCCTTCTAAGTTTTATGTATTCAGATTTCAGAAATGTTAGACTTTTTCATAGGTGCTCCTGCAGACTCCTAGATAAGTGAACACCACCAAAGCTACCTGGAAAGCTACGAAGCCTTGAGTTCTTGGTGTGTTTTCATGTCAAATATTATGCGAAGGAAATCCTTATTTATATTACAAAAAAATAATATGATATTACCAGAAAATACAGAGAACTTTTTGCAGAGACTTTTTTTACAGAGACTCAAAAGGACAGGGGGACGAAGTGTCAAAGGCATAAAGCAATAATCTCTCTATGTGGAAAAGTTGCTTCAGACACATTGTTGCAGGTGCACTTGTGCTGTGTTATAAACTGAGCCACAGCTTGTTGTCTTCCAGCTCCCAAACAGACTGTTCAGGAGAAAAAGCAGCAGAGACTCTCCACTTCCATAAGACACTGGTGACACATCTTCATTTTGAAAGTCTGAGTTAATTTTGCTTCTGTAGGAAGAAGTAATCCTTTAGAAGTTATCTTCTGAGATTACTAGTAACAGAGTAGTACATCACTTCAGAGTTGAACATACAAGCTTACTTATAAAATCCTTTTTTGTTTTTCTCAGAAAAGTTCATTTTAATAGCTACCTATTTGATTTAAGATTATATGAACTTGTAGTGGTATATTTTGCACTAAGTTCCCTAAATAACAGGACTAAGAAGAGCACTGAATCTGTCATGAAATTTAAGCTTACCTTCTGTCTCCAAATGTAATCTGTCTTTGTCCCTGCTCTGCTGTGAGGCCCCAGGAGATACCATGGGACCCTGCAAGAGCATGGAGACAGTCTGTAGAGAGTGGATAGCTGTTGGGATCTGTATTTTAGAGAGGGGCAGAGGATTTTAAAATTCCATGGCTTTTACCCTTTGGGGCACATAGATAAAACTCTTCCAAACCAGGTTGTATATTTTAACAAAAACACCTCCCTTTAGCCCTCTGTAAGCTGGCTTCCTTCGCCACTGAGGTGCCTTGCTAGCCAAGCTTCATGGTGCTTGATGAGGTGCCAGAGTGGACTGGAAGCCATCAAGTCTGAACTTTGTGTTGGGGAGAGAAGGTAGGTTTGGAGCAGTTTACAGCATGCACACCACTCCTGCCCATGTTTTTAGTGGTTATGGTGTCTAAAAATGAGAGTCACCATTAAAATTGTATAGGTACAATTGTTGGAGGACTTACATCTGGGGATTTTTTTAGTGTTTCTCCATACATTGCAATGTAAGACCAGATTTTCCAGTTTAATAATTTTCCAAAATATTCTTTAAAATGCTGGAACATTAGTGTATTCTACTCCAAACCAGCTTATTTGTAGATACAACTTACTGTCTGCTCTCTCTGCTCCATATACAGGTAATCCTGATGGAACGAGACGTGCAGAAGGAGTACAGGAGTACAGGAGCTGTGTAACCCAGCTCCTGGGTCCCTTTCCCAGCAATTTGCCTAAGCTTACTCAAGTTCAACTTACTTGTGTTGTCAGTCAAGTCTCTAGATTATAACATTCTGAAAATTACCTTTTACATCAATCTTTCCAGCTTACACCCTCATTACAGCTGCAGACATCTAGCAGGTCTTCTGCCTGTTGTTTTACAAAAAGCTTCAAAAAACCCACAAAACACCAACATTTAAGTAGTTGCATGACTCAGCAGAGGAGGTAAATAAAGTTTTGCACAACCTTAATTGCAAATCCAACGTGAAGGCAATGTCACTGGCTAGTGGTATACAAATGTTAAACAATCTAAGCCAGGCTTCCTTAATTTTAGCTGAAAGTGAATTGATTTTTTAATGGTTCTGTCCATTTCTCTCATACGTGATGAACACAGAAGTCAGGGATCAATTTTGTGTCATGAAGTTAAGTTCTGATCTTCAGTACTTGAAGTTTGCATAGCTGACACTCGGAGCTCTCATGTGAGGCACATAAACCCAAAGGCACTTGTGGTTCCAGTCCACTGCTGCTGCAGACACCGTGGCATATCATCTGCTTCTTCACTTGATCAGACTCAATTTCTAGCCAGATCAGCTTATTTGCATCTTAAAGGTTAAGAAATCTCCTCACGTCCACTCAATTACTTTGTTCACATACCCATGTTGTCCTGTGGCTCTGATGATTTTTCTGTCATTGGTGTCTGCATGAGGGTGCTACCTGGAGAGCAATGGTACAGGTCTCCAGTTCTGTTTTGTTAGACTACACAAACCAAGCATATTTCACCTTTTCTGACAGAAGAGTATTTTCATTCTCCCATCATTCAAGTTGTCCTTTGATCATACTGACCCTTCTCTGCACCTTTGTTTAATACAGGTGCTTTCTTAAATACAGGTGATTGGAAATGTAGGCACAGCATTAAAGCTGTCCTGGTTCTGGTGGAAATGCTACATCAAAACATCCTTTAGTCCCTTTTTTGTTCATGGTTGTGTCATACTGTGACATACCAGATGTTACACAGCCCCTAGTACCGTTTTCAACTGAGTCCTTCATTTATAGCACAAAGGCTTCCTAAGCAGAGCATGTCAAGATTTTCCATAATATCTTTGTATTTAATCTCATTACCTCAGCTGTTCAGATCATCCAGTTTCTTTTGTTTCTTCTGATGGCTTTCAGGATTCTCTTTTGTATACTTGAAGACATAATTTTTAAAATATTCCTATAACTGTGTTGTACTTTTTGGTTAAATACTACTAGTTATCCCATACAAACTCTGTATTTTTTTTATTACCATAATGGCAAGGAAGAGCTAACTGACAGCTGTTGATTTCATGACTTTTTATATTTGTGCATCAGTCCAGAAGACAACATTCTTTAATATAAATTTTGGCTTCTTATTTTTTTTTTTTTTTAAATAGGACTTTTAGCATTAATTATAGAATGTGCTTCAAATGCTAATGTGAAATCCATGTGTATTCTTAGCTTTCTTATTCAGACTGATCGGGATCTTTTCTCTTTAATTATGATCTTGTTTTCAGTACTGCAAATGTGATCTGAAGGCAAACTGAAGAAGGCTTTTAGTAATAGCTGTGCAAAAAGGTCACTCGTAAGAACTTGAAGATGAGAATGATTTGCTAATAATTTATTATTTTTAATATAAACTTACTTTCCTTTACAGTACCCGTTCTACCATTAACTGGAATGCTGGTTCTTCCGTATCTCTCATTAAGTGGTAAAAAAAAAATACAAATGTGAGGTTTTTATACTCTAACCCCACCTCTTCTTGAGTGGATGGAAACAGCTTTGCATGGTTTCACAAGAACACAAGTGAATAGATACTATACTAACTGCACAAAAGCTGAAGGGCAATGCACTATTAATTGTGGACCTTTTCCAGTTATTTACCTTAGTACAATGAATTTGAGACTGTTTGGTCTATTTACACATGAAAGCATGATCCTTGTAATATGAAGAAGTGATAAAAGATGACAACAGCTTGTGCTGAAAGCAACTGCTCCCCAGCTACACAGAAGAAAAGGGAGCCCAATGGAACCAAAATTTAAAAAACTCTAGGTCAAGGTTATTTTTTATTGCTTGTGTGAAGAGAATGTTCCTCATGAAAGGGGAACTTCACAACTGTGTGAGAAATCATCAGTAGGGTGACTGTGGAGAAGAAATGGTTGGCTTACTTGCTGACTCCTTAGAATCACAAAATCTCTTTGATCTTGAAAAATAACTGCTCTGATGATTGCTTTAAAATATTTAGCTAGCCTTTTAGAATTAAAAATGTCACATAAGATTGTAAAATTTTTTTTATATATATATAATAAAAAGTATTGCATAATAATTTTACTGCCACTTTGTGCATCATCAGATCTTTGTATTGTTTCACCACTTGTTTCCATAAACTGATTTAGATTCCAGCACGTTTCCCACGTTTGCTTTATTCAAAGCATGATGTGACTTTATAACTCTTTCTGAAAAGATATTTTGAAATTTTCCTTTATTTTCTGTTTATTTAGAAGTAAGTTATTTTGAATTTCAGCCATCTAGTCATTAGTATATGACTTCTAAATTCATATTTATTCCTTCCATGAAATGAATATGGGAACGAATGCTAGAAGTCTGGAAAGATGCACTATTTTTTATACGTTCACACCTTCTCCTGGTACCTGTTGTATGCCATGTGAACTTTTGACAGCTATTAAGTGATAACATTTTTTAACTCTTCTGTGATGTCTGGAATTATAGTATTAGTGTGGAATATATTAAAAAAAATCCATATATCACATTTTTTAATCCTACTAAATTTTATTTTTGTAGAGAAGGATTCTTTTATTTGCAATAAAATGCAAATTTTACTAACTGTCTGAAGCTTTATTTTGGCAATATGCACACGATACTATTTCAGTGCATTTCCTCATCCTTTTTTTTTTCCTTTTAGGCCAGGTTTGAAGTATTTGTCACCTGTGGCAGGGCTGGAGACTGTTAGAGGCTGTGGTGCAGTACGGCCAGGAGGGCACTAGGTGGGGGTAGGACAGAACCTCTGCCGCCTTGGCCCTTCCCCTTTGCAGACATTTTGGAAGTGTGTGTTTCCTTTTGAGATGCCAGGAGAAGAGAAAATTACTGTACTGACATACACAGCGTGTTTTCTACATGCTATAAAAATAACGTTACTGTTAACACTGGATATCGAATTTTCCTTTCCTCCTCAGAGGAAAAAATACCTCGGAGTATTCTCCTAGATACACTCTGAGTTAATTAGGGCTTAGAGAACAACCTTTGGTTCTTAGTTATTTGAGCAAGCTAAAGAACTTTACAATTAGCACAAGTCTAGGTGATTGTCATTCAAAACTTAGCATGAGAGAAGTTTTTTAGTTTCTCTGGCAGAAGCATTTCAGTGCCTGGTTTCAATGAGCTTGCTTTCTTCAGCTCGTGGAAGAACTGAAAATGAGAAAGGATGTAATTTGGGAAACAGTCTTATTAATTTGCACTAATAATTAACTGTTTGCAGGTTAATGGTTTTGTGAACTTGGAAGTAAATTGAGAAGAACAATCCCAAAATATGTATTTTGATTTACGAGAGTAAGCAATTAATGGAAAGCTGGGCCCAAAATACCTGCTGGGATTGTGCTTGAGAGACTCTCCTAAGCAGCAAAAGACCTTCCAGGATTGAATCTGGAAGAGAACAACAGACTGAATCGTTAACTCATTGTGAGCAGTTTTAGTCATCTTTTCTTTGGGGTTTAGAAGAAAGAGGGATGTCACTCCCTGAAAATACCTGGCAAGCATACTTGTGCTTATAGGACAACTGAAGTTACTTTCTTCAATGTTTAATATTTCACCTAAGGAATTTTAGCAAAGAATTTTCTTCACTGAATTTAATAATTTTATGATAGATAGTAATTTAGGAAGAAGCACAGGCTTTGCTAATTTTCTGTCTATCTATAGAGATGGGTAATAAATATTTTTTCAGAGTTTTTTTTGTAGGTGTGCAGGTTAGGTTATATACTGATTAACAAGATGAAGGCTTTGTCTCAAATCCTGTTCAGATAAGTTAGGTTTTTAAGAATAGGCAGGTTGGTTCTATAGTGCTAGAAAATACGTGACGATAGATTTGAAACGTCAGGTAAAAATAAACTTTGGTTTTAAGACTTTTTCAGTTTTCTGCATTTATCTTGAGTCTGTGATAGCAAAGCTCTCTTTAAGTGGAAAACTTACTGCTAGATCATGACTGAGTGAAGTGTTATTTGTTGGTCAGATTAAAAAAACAACAACAAACAAGCCACCACCAACAAAGGAACTAAACCCCAACAGCAAAGCCCTTGGAGCTGTTCTGTCCTAATTGTAGCACTAATTCAGAAAAACTTCAGAAGTAATTTTTTGTGGCGGCCGTGGCAGTTGCCCTCTCACAGCTTCTTATCAAAGATATTTTTGAAGGTGAATGGTGAAGCTGATTAGGGAAAACGCTTGTCTTCCCTCTGGGTTATTTTGTCTTCTAAGCTGTATCTGTTCCCATATACTGTAAAACATGGGTTGTGTTGAATAATACTTGTGCCAACACTGATGCAGGGGCAAGTGAAGGGTTTCAGAGCAGGGGTGACTGTGTGAGCTCTTACAAGCAGTGCTGCCGTTAAGTATCTAGTCTCAGACTCAGAAAGAGCTTTTCTGGTGTCTGTTTTGTACATGCTGCATACAACAATTTGCATTGCCATAAGAATGAATTTTCTGATGTATTTGAGCCACAGAAAAAAAAGGAAAAATACAGAAAAATTTATTAAGCTTACAGTTTTAGTTTCAGAATGCAAGGAAAATTTGTAGCTGGGTTTCTATTCCTTACCTCCCCACAATTTATTAACAGAATTTGTATGGGGTGCTCTGGAGGGGGAAAAAAAATCCCCACGTAATAGAACATTTAGAAAGCTGTTTCATTCTAGTATAAATTAATAGTAATTGTAATCCCAAATACTAAATATTAAAGATTTATTTTTTGCTTTAATTCTTTAAAGTTAGGAATCCTGGAGTGACTAATCCTGTGTTTTTCAAACATAAGTACGTGTGTCATTCTCTTGTCAAGTTGCTTATATTCCCACAGCTGAGATGGTTAAAAATGTGGTGAACGTGTCGTTTAATCTAAACAGTGTTTTGGCATGGCTTGTCTTTTTATTTTAGTCTTCTGCTGCACTTCGCTGTGGGTCTGACTGTGAATTTTTCAGTGCTGCTTTGACGTTTCTGCACATGTATTTGTAAGAAGGTTGTTTGTTATTTTGCAGGCCCACCTTCAACCCTCCCTCTAAGCACTCAAACCTCTAGTGGCAGCGAAAAAGAGACCCCCTCCCCCACCCCCAGGACACAAAAGAACCCTCTCTGACCCACCAAGCCCACTACCTCATGGACCCCAGAATAAGGGCCCAATTCCTTGGGGTGAGTTTTGAAATGCAAACCAAAAGGGCAGGGGAAAACCTTTATGATGGATGGTATGTGATCTTTGGTTTCTTTTTACCTGGTGCTTGCTTTCCAATGATTGCAGCTTGATGGAACGTCGGCTCAGATAAATCAACAATTCTACCTTCTGTCACTCTAGCTTCCAGGCTTCTGTATCTGAGTCTCACTTGAGAAAACAAAACATTCCAAGCTCCCCTGGGGCTCAATCCAATCTCCTCTGCTGCCTCCTTCTCTCCACCCTAGCTGCCCAGGCTGCCCTCACCCCGGCCCCCTTGTGCTGCATCTACTCTGCACCTGTTTCCTCACCCCTGCTCCTGTTCTGACCAGCTCATTAAGCCAGATGGATCTTGATTTGGGGCAGGTAGGCCCCGATGGCTCTGTGGCTCTCTTGATTGCCTGAAGAGCTTTGCTTCCTTGGGTTCTATGCCAAATCTCTCCTGTAGAGTGTTCACCCTAGCTGGTGGGGATGTGTTGTCTTATTTGGGGCTTTGTCTTGTTGTCTGTATGTATACAAAGACTGATAGGTTTGCATCCTTCTACCTGCTGAAGTTATTCAGAAACAGCACTTTTGGTTTTTGTGTTTTGTTTTGGTTTTGTTTTGTTTTTTTAACAGCATGCCTTTCTGACAGAAGCTTTTTAGAAACTGTTTTCCAGACTACTTGAATTCTTCCTCTTCTCGATAAGCATTGCTCTCTGCAGTCTACTTCTCCTGGTAGCTATAAATATCAGGCCCTTGTAATTTTCTATAATTTTAGTCTTGGTGGCAGGATTTCCATCAATTTGTAAACTCTTCAGCTGGAATCTGGTGCTTACAGAGCAGGGGGTCATCCATACACCACTTATATTTTAGGATTATCCTGTCTCTGTCCATATAAACACAAAACCAAGATTACTAGCCTAAAAAAAAAAAATTGCAAGCATAAAAACACTCTTTTTTTTTTTTTTGAAATTGAGTTAAATGTGGTAAGTCATTGAGTACTCACATAGAATGTGATTTAATTTAGGATTTAACACAAAGAGAAGTATAGTCCAATGAAAAGCAAAGTCTTTTTCTCAAGGAATACAAATAATGGCAATCTTCAGTTCTTTACAGATGTCTGGGATGTGGAAAAAGTTTCCTATCTTCTGGAGTCTAACAGCCCTGTGCTGTTTCAGAGGTAGTAAAGACTTTTTTGAAGAGCTTAGACTCGAAAAATTTTTAAAAGCCCAACTATTAAAGTCCACAGCAGCACCTAAAAAAACAGATACTAGAATACTATATAATGTAACACTATTAGAATTAAAAGTGTGGTAGGAACAGATGCTAAGCCAGGGCCAACTTTTCTTTTAAAATATTAGACAACAGAGAAAGGAAAAGAAAAATATGAGAAAGGTGCAAGTGTAGAGTTGAAGAACCTTGTGGCAGTAGAATACTTTTTCAAAGCAGGGCCAGAGAAGAACATTGCTTATTCTGTCTCTCTCCTGCTCTACACTGCAGATCAAAACTCAGTGGATGGAAGAGGGGCCTCTTCTCCCCCTTTTCTTAGCCGAGAGCTGTATAAAAACTTGTTTCAAAGTCCGTTTGGATTTTAAGCAAGTATTAAGTTTTGTGGTTATAAAAGAGGGAGTTTCTTGTGTCTGCCTTTTGTGGGTTTGGTTTGAGAATGCTGTCAGATGTTCGTTGCTTTCCCTTTCAGGAGCTTTTTTTTCTCTGTTGTTACATTTCTCGTTATGTTGAATTTCAGCATTTGTTTTCTAATGTGTGCATTAACTGAAGTTTCAAGCAGAGCAATCCTTCGCTTATGTCTAAGCAAATTAAGTTACTATTCAAAGATGTGCTAAAAATGTCATTTAGATTATTTTGGATTTCCATAGCAACCATTAGATTTTTCTTGCTTCATCCATAGGATCTACATGTGAAAGGTTTGCTGTTTGCCTTAGGTTTATTTTTCTTCTTTTTTCTTTCTGAATTTTTTTTCACTTATAAATATAAACATATTTTTAGCAAGGCTCAGCATGAGCCTTTTCTGCCACTTCACTTAGACGTCAATGCACTAAGAATGGTATCTAGGCAGATATGTCATTCTTCTGCATGGAAAGTGTTTTGTGTTCTTGGATCATTAAATGCCACTTTACATCTATTTCAGTGACAGTATTTATTAATGGTTGTGGAAGTTGGTGCTAAGATTGTTTAGACAAGCTGTAGTAGAAGAGGGAGGAGTGGGAATGATAAAGGCACTAAAACAAAGCAGTCAGTATAATTGTACCTTGGGAATGGTGGTGGTTAATGAAAGAGAAGCCTTCTGCTGAAGGAATTCAGAAGCACTTGGGGTTGGATTTTTCTGCCTTTTGACAGAATTGAGTGTATCCAGGGTCTTTTTTTTACCAAGTTAGCGTTCAGGTTATGGTAACACACTGACTTAGAAATTATATCAGCAAAGGCTATTCTTTATGCAGGATAAAATACCCAGTCCTTAGAAACTTGATGTTTTGTGAATAAGATCAAATTCATGGTGGTTTTAAAAAGACGTGCCTCATAATGCAAAATGTAAACATCTGCAATAAATTTATTTCACATTGGCCTGCAGTATCTCCTACTGTTCAGAGAAAACCGAAACACTATATTCAAAATAAACGCCTTACAGCAGGAACTTGGCAATGTCATTCAATCTTTCCTTGCCAGCAGATGTGAGCTACCAGTGACTTGTGTGGAAACGTGTTATATGAAAGGTCATTTGGAACTATTAGAGTCCCTGCCGCTTTTTCAGTTACAGTATCATTAATAAAAGAATGATCATTAAAATCTTTAAACATGTGGTATAGAGGATACTTGGAGGAATGTGTACTTCACCCTAAGTTGTACCCTCTGCTGATTTAATTTCAGTTATCTTAATGATTTGGTTTTTTTTTTAATTGTGCTTTCTTCACCTCAGGTAATGATTTGGGCCCACCTTCAACTAAGGCTGCAAACAAGTTTGAGGGGATGTCTCAGCAGTCAAGGTAAAATCTGTGTATATGAAACGATGAAATTTATCTAACTAATTAATTTGTAAAGCAGAAGAAAATTGCCTTTTATATGAAGTAAAATCTTAGCTATGTTTCTTCATTAGTTTTCTGCATGCCTTACTACCATACAAATACTTTGGCTTCATTGAGCCTCCTACGCTTTGTTCATAGCTGTCCATAGACAATTCACCCTTTGAGCGGGATGGACGGAACGACTTGTACCAGCATCCCTCTGCTGCTCCTACAGAAGTGCTCTCTAAGCTGGGGAGCGCTGCCTCCGACTGCAGTCCAGCAGGACAAAAGTCGTATTTTCATGTCTCCTGGCATTTCATTTTATCTGGTTCACTGTGAGGCCTCATGCCTGGAGCTGCAGAAGTGTCACTTTGGGTACAGGCTGGCATCCAACGTAGCTCTAGAAGAGAGAAATTCATCTCAGTCTTCCAGCTTCACTGTTTTCCAGCCTGTCGAGCTTAGGTGCTGACGCCCGGCCTGTAGTGACCCGTAGTTCCTCAGGCGTCTCTCTGAGCAGCTGAAGCAGTCAGGACAGCCACACGTTCCTGTCGCCTGGCGGCCCTTGCCCCTTTATCCGTGTCGCGGTTCCAGGT